CTCCTCCACGTTTTTCATCATAGATCGAAATCTCTTTCTTCTCCTTCTTCTCTTTATTCTCCATAGATCGAAATCCCCAACCATCGTCGCCTATCTTGTTCATACTAATTTCGCAATTACGTTGTTTTTCGTTGCCATAGATCGTAATCACCAATCATGAATTAAGATGGTATTCGATGGAGATCGACATAGTTGACTATAATCGAAAATCATAATAGGTACTTATGGTTCGAAAATAGTTAACTACTTAGCTGCCTATGGTTCGGAAATAGTTAACTATTTAATTTGCTAGCTATGGTTCAAATATAGCGAACTATGGAGCAACATCACTGTAATCACTATGGTTCCAAAATAGTTAACTACTTGCTGTATATGGTTCGAAAATAGTTAACATTTAACTATTTACTGGTCATTGTTCAAAAATAGTTAACTATTTACTACCATGGTTCGAAAATAATGAACTATGGAGCGACATCACTATGGTTCTAAAATAGTTAACTACTTGTTGTCTATCGTTTGAAAATAGTTAACTATTCACTTGCCATGGTCCAAAAATAGTGAACTATGAAGTGCCATCACTATGATTATAAAATAATTAACTATTTGTTGGCTCGGTAGTTACAACATCATGTTGAGTTACAACATCTGGTTAGAAAACACATATGGTTGATGAACAAGATGTGTAGTGTATTAAAGCGAAAAAATATTTTAGGGATTTTTTTTTCTAATACTTTCCTTATCCGATTACTCATTTATTTTTATTTTTTTGAAATTCATTAGCAAATTTAATATGGGCAATTTCGTCCGAAAGTCTTTTTTCTCTGCTAGTCACCTAATTTCTTTTTACCCTATGTTACTCTCCTAATTTTGTCTCTCAAAAATAATATTTAGCTAATTCACCCTAATATATTGGCTTTGATTGGTAGCATGAGTTGGTATTGATTTAGTTTGAGTTAAGAGTCTAATTCATTGATAACTCAAAACTGTTACCAATTATAAATCAACCTAAAATTTAAGAATTTGAGTTTGAGTTATCATGAATTATGGTTGATTCACCATTTTGAGTTATGTTCTTTGTTAAATTGCTAACTCAATAGTTAATCCAACATCATGAAAAATGGGATGAATTAGATATTAAGTGTTTTTGTTGCTTTTTTGTATTTAACGTGACCTCACATTTTTTTTATGCTATTTCCAATTTTAATTATTTTATTATGGCACACAAAATAATAATTCCAACAAGATATTGTATTTAATTTTTAATTAACAAGGTTCTATCAATTTGGTTAAAGATTTTTGATTCAAACATTTTGTTTATATTGTCTTAGTTATTGATTTTATTTTATATTTTCGTTTGAAAAATTTTAAACAAGTATGTTGTTAGTTTTTTATTTTATGTTATACAATTTGTGTTTTAGTTTATGTTTAAGTGAGTATTATTTATTTTTTAATATTATATATTAATGTTACAAAAAAGTTTAGTTTTATATCTAAGTTAGTATCATTTTAATTAGTCTTTCTATTTATAAACTTGTAACAAACGTTAATTATTTATAATTATTTAAAATTTTAATTCGTGCTTAATAATACATACTGCAACTTATACATCATAAAAGTCACTAGTCAACTGTATTGATTAAAATGCTAATTTGTATTTCTATAGCAAATTCACTACATAAATCTACAGTTTTTACCACATATTTTTACTGCAAGTTAACATCAAATTATAACATCTACTGCAACTCAAATTCGATACCACATGCTACCAGTCGGACCATATATAAATTTGCAGACTTACCACATAAATCTGCAGTTTCTACCATATTTTTTTACTGCAAGTTACATCAAATTATAACATTTACTACAACTAAACTTTGATGCCACATGTTACCAGTCGAAACCATTATGGAAGAAAACTATATCTAGTGTTAATTGTTAGGATTGACATTACAAGGACATGATGTCACATGAACAATGAACAATGAACAGACCTTTTCTTTCTTTTTTTAGAAGAAACGTCTACAATAGGATGCATATATTTTCTCTTTTAAACAGGCCATAATGCTAATTTCGGCCCAGTAAAAGCCCATATTGACGCAGCCACTTGCCTATCCGGCAGAAGTAAGAGCAGAGCAGAGCCAGTCTCTCTCCTTCTCCACCGGTCTTCAATTTATCTATCCACCAATATCTCTGCTCTATGAACTTAGCTTCGCTCCTCTCTCACTCTTCAATTTCTCTGAACCTTGTCTTTCTTAGTATTCAAAGAAGCCCAATTCTGTATTTCTATGATCCTTAGGCTGCGGGAGCCTTCGAATTTCTGAGGTAGTACATGAATTACACAGTTATTTGCGTTTCTGAGTTTCGGTTTTGTTTTCGAGGTCTGTAAATAATGGGGATTTATAGCTGCAACGCAGTTTTGAGCTTCGGCTTGAAATTCCCATTTGTTATTGGAAGCCATAAGCTATACCGTCGCATGTTTAGACAAAACCCATTAGCTGTAGAATCCGGTCACAATAGGCGTTTTGGTTGCAAATGTAGTGCGGGTATGATGATTGGTAAGGTTATAGAGAAGGAAGGAGTAGAGGAAGATGAAATCCCTAGGTTTAATTGGGTTGATGTTGATCTGAATCTGACCGAAGAACAAGATGAGGCACTAACTCGGATTCCTATTAAGATGTCCAAACGTTGTCAAGCGCTTATGAGGCAGATTGTTTACTTCTCCAGCGAAAATGGTAGTTTTTGTGATCTGTTGAGTGTTTGGGTTAGGAGAATGAACCCCATTAGAGCTGACTGGCTTTCTATTCTTAAAGAGTTGAAGAATCTTGAGTCTCCCTTTTATATCAAGGTACTTGCTTTCCTGATTCCATACTCGATTTCTGAATACGTGTTATTGGACGTGCCTTATCGCTAGTTTGCTATTCTAAGTTTGTTGTGTGCATCTCCTCCTTAGGTGGCTGAATTTTCTCTGCTTGAGGATTCCTTTGAAGCGAATGCCCGTGATTATACCAAGATCATCCATTACTATGGGAAGCTAAACCAAGTAGAAGACGCTGAAAGAACGCTTCTTGCCATGAAAAATCGAGGCTTTCTCATTGATCAAGTGACCCTAACAGCAATGGTTCAGTTGTACAGCAAGGCAGGCTATCACAAACTGGCTGAAGAAACTTTTGACGAGATCAAATTGCTTGGGGAACCACTAGACAATCGATCATATGGTTCAATAATTATGGCTTACATCAGAGCTGGCTCGCCCGCGAAAGGAGAGGCGTTACTCAGAGAAATGGACTCCCAAGAAATCTGTGCGGGAAGAGAGGTTTACAAGGCATTGTTGAGAGCCTACTCAATGGGTGGAGACACGGAAGGAGCCAAGCGAGTTTTTGATGCAGTTCAAATCGCAGGGATTACTCCTGATGTAAAGCTATGTGGACTGCTCATAAACGCATACAGTGTCTCGGGTCAGAGCCAGAATGCGCGTTTGGCGTTTGAGAATATGAGAAAAGCAGGTATCAAAGCTACCGATAAGTGTGTGGCTCTTGTATTGGCTGCATATGAAAAGGAAGAAAAGCTAAACGAAGCATTAGGGTTCTTGGTTGAGCTTGAGAAAGACTCTATAATGGTTGGGAAAGAAGCTTCCGCTGTGTTGGCTGGGTGGTTTAAAAAGCTTGGTGTTGTTGGACAAGTTGAATTAGTTCTGAGGGATTTTTCATCTAGCGAGTCTCAAACCCTCTGACCATCACAGAAGATTTGGGCAAACGAGATACACATTTTGCTGTTTCTGTGATGGGAGCCTGCACTGCGTACTGTTTCTTCCGTCTACCAAAAACAGCATGATTTTCTTCTTTTTTTGCGGTATATATGCGTATATGTTCTGACTTTTAATGTATACAGAGGTTCCGTTGCCAAAAAAAGTTTGAGAATTGGATCCAACTCAATTTAAAACGATCGTTACGATCCTATTCAAATTGCAATTACTATACAAAAAACTAATTTCAAAAAGCATATATATATATACGCGCGTATATGTATGAAATAGGAATACAAACTCCATTGCAAAAATGACACTATTGAGACCACATCCATCAGGGGTTTTTAAGAGATTCTTAAGTT